TTTCGGTCCAAAAAAAAGCACACAAAAAAAAGGCATAAAAAGCATGTCCTTAATGACCGGCCAGTCGAAGACAAGGTTGGGCGAGTACGTCCCGAACTACGAGGAAACCGCGGGCACCGTTGCAGGGCGGGAGGCGGCTAAGGAGTTGATGAGACTGCTCTCGTGCGATTTTGAAGGTCTGGTCATCAACTCGAAGAGAGTCTCGGAGTTATTCGAGGAACGTGTGCTGAAGGAAACTGGACGTGAGGCTGGAAACTGGGTGAATAGTGACCAGGCCATCTGGTTCCTGAGGGAGATCACGGGCATGGAGAACGCCGAGATGTCGTGGAAGTTCTTCATTCCGACGATCAAAGCTTTCCCGATAGGGCAAGTTGAGGCGATGCTCATGGTCATGTACGATGGGAATGGTGTCCTCCTCAAGGAGAGCACTAGGTTAGTGGCCGTTAGGTACACGCGGGTCGGACGTGACATGAGCTACAGTGCCGTTAGGCAAAGGTACACCCAAGAAGATGCACCTGGCGGATCTCTGATGTACGAGATGCACTGGAATGAACTCCCTATGGTGGGGTACGTCGTCATGAAGTTCTCGGACTTTAGGAAGGCGGTTCAGCTCCAGAAGGTGAGGCGAAACGGAAAGGCCATGATCGAGATATTGATCACGAGGCCCGATGTGTACGAGACCATTGGGGATGGAAGGCAGGATGAAGGCCTGATCCCACTTGTGGGAACCATGGCGCCGAATGCCGAGGTATCGCCATCATGGTACGTCAGGGACAGGCTGCGGAACTACTCGGGAAGGTACGTGGTGGTAATCGTGGACCTTCGGGTGCACTGGTCATTGGTTGGACCCGTGTTTCTGACGAGGAGAAAGACCCTTGCCGTTCGGAACGAGATCCACATGGGCGCTTGGAAGGCAGCGTACATGTACGATGATTACACGATAGTGTATCATCGGGCATGGGACTATGGTGACCTTACCCCCGTTAGGGGAGAGCACAGGCGATCGCGTGAAGAGGTCAGGTTGAATGTGACCACCACGTTCTGTTTGAGGTGCGCGGAGATGACGCCAAATGGGATGCATTTGTGCCCTGGGTGTGCGCTCCCGGTCTTCTACCCGAACTTCATCCCCAACGCGGACGAAAGTGACTTCGGGAGATGCCGCATCGTCCCGGAGTGGGTGAGGAGCATGGGGCAGTTCAAACCCAAGAGGATCCCCTCCGAAGTGGTCGGAGTCATCAAGAGGAACTTGATTTCCTATTCGATGGCGTCTGACCTGAGGATGACGGTGCAGAGCGGCATCAGACTGCCCCCTTACCTTGGTGAGGACAAGGGAGGAGTCGATACGGCGTGGGATGAGCTGGCGAAGGTGCTCTTCCAATTCTCCTATGTGTCGGGGATTTCGGCCTCGGATGCATTCGTGGAGAAGTGGGTGGCGAAGCACCTGATTATGACCAACCAAGTCGATAGATTTGAGTCGGTCACTGAGTACTTCCGAGCTAACCCGAGGCATGCTGCTCAGTGGGGTAGGCGGATGACGACTTCCGTTAGGAAGTTCGCTCGCCACGACACGTACTTGTCCTTCTATATCCCGATGGCGTACGTGATTGGCTCCGCGGCGGGGCATCTGACTCCATTATATCCGACCCATCGGAAGGACGTGGATATCCTGGCCAGCCATGCGTTGATATCGGAACTCAGGAAGTACATGGTATCAGAGACAGGGTACGATGAGAAGAAGAGACTGAAGGAGGCGATAGCCAAGGTGCAGAAGGCAATCAGTGCCGGACAGTCGGAGCCTCCTGCCCCCTTCCGCGACCCATTCGTCTACGTTAGTGACGAAAGGGTGAGGACGGTTCTTGATGGTCGTCGACCGGAGCCATTGAACGTGAACATTGAAGAGCTTCAATCGGTGCATCATGCTGCGCAGGGTCCTGGTCCTAAGCAGGAGCCGATCGTCAAGGGCGGAAAAGGAAAAGGGAAGAAGGGAGAGAAGGGAGAGAAGGGCGGTAAGGGCGGTAGTCCTTCCGGCCCACCACCAAAGTCAGGTGAAGTGCCAGGAAAAGGATCTGGTAAGGGCGATAGCCCATCTGTCCCACAGGCAAAAGCAAAGGCTGATGCTGGGCCGGCTCCGATGGAGGTTGATGCAACTGCGGCTCAACCGAAGAAGACTTGGGTCGCGATAGCGGTTGAAGGGGCCCGGCCGAGTGCGAAGGCTAAGATGACTCCGGTTCCGAAGGCCGAGCCAAAAGGGAAGGCCGCTTCAGTATCTGAGGCGAAGAATGCTCCGGCTCCGAAGGCTGAAGCTAAGGAGACAAAGCAGGCCGAACCGAAGGTTGAGGTCAAGAAGGAGAAGATAGGCGGAGATGACGCTCCCGGCGGTAGCCGGGGGTCAGCTGAAGGGCAGAAGAGAGAAAGGAAGTCCCGTTGGGATCCTGACGAGACCGTGAAGGAGTCGACGAAGCGGGAGGCATCGACGAGGCCTGATGACGTTGACAGCAGACCAGGTGCGGCAGCAAGAGAGGCTAGTGGGGATGATCTTCACTCTGCGCTTGGTAGGTCTTCGGCAAAGGAAGCGGTAGCGCCTCTGACGGCCTCCAAGGCAATGGCGAAGAAGCCTGAAGGCGGTGAGATCAGGTTGCAGTCGGCTGAGCGAGCTGCGGCGAGCCCGGTGGAGGGTCACTTCCTGGTGCTGCCTGAGAGTTCGGTGGTGGACGCTCTCTTGTCAGTCTCCACCAACAGAGTGCTGAACAAGCAAGTCAGGGATTTCATCAGAAATGGTGAGGACGCGTCAGCACTGGAGGCTCTCAACCAGATCGTAACGAACTCTCGCTCTGGGAGGAGGCGTAGGGAATCGGACGTTTCCCGCACTCCTTCTCGGAGGTCCGTTAGGACCGTGGACACTAGGGATTCCAGAGAGTCGAGAAGGCGCAGATACCGTCCGCGGCGCGAGGATGATCGCGACCGGAGGAGGGACGATGCTCGTGATCGTCGTGATGATGATTCACTCGATCGGGAGCGAGAACGAAGGCGAGATGATCGCAGGAGATCCGAAAGGGATCGTGATAGGGACCGTGCGCGGGGCGGACGTGACCGGAGGAGACGTGACGATAGCCGATAGGCTGAGTCACGAGGATTGCGGCCGATAGGCTTGCGTCCATTCTCCAATGGTCGGCGCGGTGCGGAGGTGGTGATGTTCCTCCCGAACCGCTGAGGCGCGGAGATCATGTCTCTCCCATACCGCTGCTGGGCTGCTGGTCGTGTTCATCAGGAAGCAGTGTGAGTGAGAGGGAAAGCAAACTGATGGGGGGTTACTCCCGGGTTTGCGGAATTCAAACATTTTTCAGGTACGCATGGTCAGGAGTACCTCTTGCCGATAGGCGAGGGTACTAATGGACATACGTTATCTTTTATTTCATGGCTTCTGATAAGAATTAAACTTCTTGCATTGTTGATGCAAACAGTTGTGACCTAGTGTCGTCATGTGGACCTTTCCACAAGGTATGTTGGACAGCGTTACCCCGATTAATTCGGGGTGGTGGCGGGAATTTAATGCCCGGGATGTCGCGCAACTGCCTTTGTGGGTTTGCTCCACCGCTGACGGCGGTAGTGTCCAGCTGTTTGCGGACGCATGCGAGCAGTTAAATCCTATCAGTAAATGGCACGCTCCACCCGTCATATGACGGGCTCCTCGTGAGGGGGGTGTGATTAGCCATGGTTCATATCATCATCAGGGACGTCGCGTTAGTGACCGACCTGTGGTGTTTTGGCTCAAGTTTTGGGTTCCGTCGCGCCTCGAATGGGCGTCGCCGAACCCCTGCGTCGACCGACGGCATCTCGGGGGAGAAAGAGACCTCGGGCCGCCGCCAGGTTGGTAGGGACCAGTCGTGCGGCCTGTTGTCGACCAAGGTTGCGGGTTAACCCTTTTCTTGTTTGGTTTGTTTCCTTTTGGTTGTTGTTCTCTGGTGTGTGGGAAACCCTGATCTTTGGGACCGGGGATTGGTTTGCTTTTGGGGAACCTTTCTTTTGTGGCTTGTTTACCCCAACTTACCCATTGCCTGGGCACAGGCTCGTGCCCGAATCACATATATATATATATATATTTGTTTTTGGTCTTTGTTTGTGTGAAATTGCCGTGTTTCCCGGGTTTCCCCCGTGGCTGGTTTCTTTCATTGGTGGCGTTGTTTGTTGCATCCGTTTGTTTGTCTTGTTTCTTGTTGTGTTGCCCGTTGTTTCTGTTCTCCTTGCCAATCAGTTTTCTTGCCTTTTTTAGCGCCCTCCCGCTTGTTCCAGTCTTTTGGCTTGAGTATGAGGTAGTATGTATATATATATATATGTGTGTATTAACTCGTCGGTGGCGCTGATAATCTCATTGTTTCTACTGCTTTTGACTTCACATAGGGGCACCGTTTTCACGTGCCCCTGGGTGCACTTTGTTTGGCAGTCTTTTTGCTTTTGGGCGAGTCCTTTTTTCCTTGCTCTTTCTTTCTTCTCTTTATGTAGGAGAAGTTGTCGATTGGCATTCACCTCGGGGTCTCCTCCACATCTACGTTATCTTTTAGGGCCGACTAGGTATGGGCTAGGAATCTGAACATATTTGGCCCGGCCAAGATCAATCCGTCGGGGGATTCCTGTGACGCCGAAGGCTTCAACTACAACGGGAAGCCTCGGTCCGCTGAGCACCTCGGATGGAAGGCACTGGGTTGGTCGGCCTGACCCAGGAAATGGGGAGCAGTGTGGGTGGGTTATTGGCAACCAGGGTTACCGACCCACAGGGACTTATCACAGGTAAATGGGTTCCAAGCTGGGCTAAAAACGACTTACTAAGCATGCATCCGGGAGCATTCCTCACATTAACGTGGCATTTGCAGGGCTGTCTGGGCCCAAAACAACTGCTCACTTGTGAGAAGCGCTTCAGCCAATAAAACGTTGAGCTCCATGTTCGGGGGTCAGAGGACTCTTGAGGACCCGAACTTTTCAGGTTCCTAACAGGCGCTAGGCGAATGAAGTGAAATGTGCTCGCCTGGATGGTAAACAAGCGCAAGCCTTTCTGCAGGTTAATCAATTGTGCGGTGTCTGTGTGTTAAACTGCAAAGAGCTGACACGTGCCTCTTCGTGGCATGTTGCTTCGTTGGTTCGGTTCAAGAGTAGCATTCAAACCAAGCGAAGGGCACCCAGTCCAGTGCTGCGAAGGTGAGAGGACACCCAGGCCCCTTTTGAGGTGGGATCTGTAGGCCAGCAAAGATGAGCCACGCTCAAAAGACGTGTGTCCGTCATGGGCAAGATTAGTGAGCCTTTTCGAGTTTTATTGGAGAGGGCTTGGTGCTGCGGATTTGTTGGCCGAACCTTCCTACTTGTCTGTTGCTCTCGGCATATTGTTCTATAGGATGCTACGGCTGCCACACCACGGACAATCAGAGAGCCATAGACTCGTTCTTGCTGAACATTCTACATCTCGCCATTCCCCCTGCCCACAAAAACAACAGAAGCGGCACCCCGGGACAGGTAAACATCCACCCTGGGACCCTGTGTCCCTGGCTGAAGTTTCGCCCCCTGACCACATTGATTTCCCTGGCAGCTGACCAGGTGCCGCCCGGGCGTGCCTCCAAACTGGGGGACCCTTCAAACTAATTTTAGGTTAGCTTCTATTTCAGGGGTTTGCAGGTCGCCCTCGTGCACAGGTCCATTTGTGGAGTGCCTAAGGTACCTCTACCGCTCTGATGGGTCCGTGTTGGTGATCCGCCGGGCGGAGACGCTAGAGGCGCGGAATGAGCTTTGCAACCAACGGGTGATGTTTTCCCCTTTGGCCTGGTGGGTTCCCAAAAAAGTGGCCCCTTTTTTTTGTTTTTAGACTTTCCGGGCCACTGGGCAGGATGGGAAGTGACAAGATTCAGGATGAAAAGTGACAAGATTCGGTCCAACTGGCAGATACAATGTCGTTCAGCCTCGCTTCAAGGGGAAATATCGGGACCCTGTCTTTTCTGCAAATCTACAATGGCCATGAGGAAATGGGCAAGCTTGTTGGCTGAATGGGGGGGGGGATGTCCTTCAAGTCACCTTTACCGAATGAGGACTCACCTCAACTTGGCCCAATGGGTGATGTGCAAAACGAGATCCGTCTGTCAGGACATCTTCAGCACCGTGGACTTTGCTGCCGCGCAGACGCTCCAAGCACTTGGGCAAATGTGAAACCACCTCCGGAACACCTCCAACCCACCGATCCGAACCACCAGTCAAAATTTGGGAAATCTGTCCAAAAGTATTGTGTATCTTAGGGCAAGAAAGGACAAGCTGCGCTTTTCTTTTTGCCGAATACCTGGACAGGAGCGTACCTTTGTTGGAGCTACCGTTATTGTCTCAAAAGGGATGCCAAAGAGGTTATACTTCGAGACAAACCCTTGCTTTCTTCTTCTTTTTGAGCTAAGTCTTTCAGAGATGCTAAGTCACACACCACATCAGAGTGGCAGGCACTGGGTCCACAGTCGATTCCACTCCAAAGTCCAGGGAGGTCCGAAAGCTGAACACTTTTGGAGCCTCGCGCGTCAGCGAGGAGCAGAGAAAAGTCGGCCCACGACGTACCATTTGTGCTATGCATGCTGTGTTGCGTTGCCTGATCTTCTTGGCTATTCTTAGCTGAATGAGCAAACTACACGTGTTGTTGCCTGGTTTCTTCATCTTTGCACGCAATGTGTGACAAGCTTTGACTTTTTGTCTGGGCAGTCTGCCCAGAGCCAACCGACCAGTTGCAATCATTATGTTTGTTTCAAGGTTGACTAGCATGCGGAATCCGAACATTCTTGCCTTGCCAAGTCGGGCCGAGTCGGTCAGCCGCGTGACCGCCGTCGGTGCCTTTTGGTCGCTTGCCGCGCCAGCTGCTCAATAGGCGTTGGGCCACTGACGACAGGTACTTTTGGATCTCCCCCAGAGCCATGAAGGGTCGGATAGTTGATGGAGTTTGCCCAACCCCAGCATCCACCTTTTTATTCTTGATGGGGCTGCACTTTTCCCAGCTCCAAGGGGCTGATCTGAACTCGTTCCATGAGGAAATTATGAGGAGCCTCTCTAGCGCAATTCCGCCAACTCCGCGCTCGGTGAAAGGTCGCCCAGCTCAGAATGTTTTCCCTCATGATTCCTCCAGCCCCCTTGGTTGAATCTGATTGCGAAATGTCCGAGTCAACACCTTTCCAGCCCTTTCAGTTGGCTTCCTCCCAACCGCCCAGAACTCCTTCTTGAGCAGAGGAGGTCAACGGTTCAGGCAGGTGGCCCGTGGGTGTTTTCAACCTCGGCCGCATGGGCCGGGGCTGCTGGGCGGCTGGGCGTCCGCATGGCTCCGGCAACTTGGTCGATGACTTTGGCCGTTTCGGGTAGATGAGGATTAGTAGGGGATAGTCCCAGCCAGAAATAAATGCCGATTTGATATATATATATATACCTGGATCTTCTGAGGGTACGTAATTTCTGCCGTTTGGCCAAACTGCAGAAAATGTTGCCGTTTCAATTAATTTCAGCCGTTTCAATCAATACTTGCCGTTTTGCGACTTTCTTGCAGTTTCGTTCAATTTTGCGTCATTGCCCCAATTTAGTGCGGGGCGACGGGTGTTGTGCGAATTAACAACCCAAAAAGGGATCAAACGCAGGCTCCTCGAAAGAAGACGGTATTGCTGCAGGTGCCGTATTCATCTGCGACACTGAGCACTTTTACCCTGTTTGGTTATTTTGATGGAGGGCGTCCTAGCAGGGCGTTTTCAATACAGCCAATGATTGACAGACTTCGCTGGGGACCCCTCCTTGTTTCTGCTTTGTGTCTTGGGGATATTTTTGGCGCACTTTTCGGGGGGGGGGGGGGGGTTCTGTGAGTGATTCTCTAGTTGGGATGGGGGACTCCAGTCTTTTCCAGAGATTGGACTTCCCTTCCTCCATTTTCAACCCTGCCAGATGCGGCAGTGAGTCCTTTTTGTTACCCCTGGGAGTCTTGCCAGGAGTGTCTTTGGGTTTGCTGGTTTAGGTCCGCCCCTTCCTTTGGAGCTTGGGGCCTGAAGCCCTGCAAGTGATGAAGCAAAGACATGGGATGTATACAACTCAACATGCTAACTAGCTGACGGGGCGTCCCACATCAGGCTGGCCAATTGCCTGTGTAAATTCCCGCGAGCGATTTGCCCAGCGCAGGATCCTTGCTGAGCTCTTGCCTCCCCTTGAGCAAGCTCTGTGGCAAGCTTTGAGACAGCGCCTGCGTCGCGGACAAGCAACGCTAAGATGGTCGAGGGAAGCGGTTACTAACACCGAGCAAAACCTCAGTCCCCAGTTGAGCCTTTGTGGGGCCTTGGTACTGAGACTTTCAATTTGCCAATTAGTGAACTTCAACCTTCTTTTTTTTGGAGGACAGTTTATTTGGTAAGCTAAACAAAATGTTCAGGCTTCTTTCAGGCCATCCACTCAGGAAGCGCGGGTTACTAGCCATTCAACGAACCGTTGGGCCATCAGAGCGAGCGATTTTTCTTGACGCTCGGCCGGACCCTGCTTCGGTCAAGCGGATTGAGCCACGGAGGGCCTCAAAGAGGTAGATATCGATCCTAAGCGACCAGTGCGCCGCGGTTCATCTCGATGCAAGGCTACTCTGAACTGGTGGCTTGGATTGGTGGTGTGGGCAGTTGTAACCCGACAAATGCGCCTGGAGGTGTGTGAAGGGCATGGCGAGTAAAATGCCCAGATTCAAAGTTGCTTAAAAGCTTCGGATAGCAGGATAAATCCTGCTACTGCCGCGCATCCCTGAGCAAAGCCAGTAGCGTTTCAAGCACGTGCGCAAGATTTGGGTCTGAGCATACTGTCTGTCGTATCTGTCAATGGTGGCGCTCAAGAGCCCCGAAGGGTCTGGAACCAACATCCTGAGAATTCCAGACTTGCGTGCGCAAAGCAACTCTGCAGCACATGCAACTGTTCGTTGCAAGTTGACGTGTCAAGCAGCGCTCACCCAGGAGGACATGCGAGACCTGTAGCTTAAGCTCCTCACTCTTTTTTTTCGAGTCGCAGTCACCCCTCGCACCTTCTCAGCACAGCACGCCACCAACACGAATCACATCACCACTTAAGTATTGGTTTCAGACAGTGCCAACATCAGCAAGTTTGATTCACTTTAATATGTTGTGGCTGCTTACTGATATATTCTTGTCAAAAATGACTGCAGCCAGAATGATGACCGACAGTCATCTCCGAGGACAGCCCGTACAACAGCTTGCTTCCTGGGAGAGCCCATGTGATAGAGCAGCGTGTGAAGTGAACCGGCAAGCGCTGTGAATGTGGTTCGCTAAAAATCGCCGTTTGGCCGCAAATTTTCGCCGTTTGGTCGCGAATTATCGCCGTTTTGTTTCTGCAAATTTGGACACAGTTGCCTGAATCTTTCCAAGGCGACACAACTCGGGGTCTTTCCCTCTAGGGCTGCGATGGCAAGCCCCGTTGCAATTCAGAAATTGACGCTTCCCAGGTGTGCGCGGCAGTAAACAAAGCCATCCAACAGCAATATCACGGCAACTGCTGAAGTAGCAACTTACATTTGTATGTGTTGGCGTGGTTCCCTCATATTTCCTCGTTTCGCACGCTTCCAACCTTCTTGGCTTGCATGCAAACCAGACTAAAGCGGATTGGCCTTCCATCCTAGTGTGCTGCTAACCACTATGCAAGACTTGCCCTTCTGACGATAGGAAGGCATTTCAAGCTAAACATGCGCCAAGTTTTAGTCGCAAATGGTCTCAACAACTCAGCAAAAAACATTTGACATTTGTGTGATTCGTGAGGCCAATAAAGATCTTACCACTCCAACTGTGAGTGTTGCTTGAAATGGCTATAACCTTCGTCGCGCAGCAGCAGTAAAACCAGTTCATGCCCAGTCCTGCGCCTGCAACAACTGGTTGGATGCTGTTTGCTGGACCTCCAATACTCAAGAGGCGTGATAAAGAAACAAATAGATCACTGCGGCGCTAGTGCTGCGAAGTCAAGTGCATCACATTCGACCGGAATCAGCATACTGGCATGAGTTTCAAGCGCCACCTGACCTCGAATATGCACCCTGATGATGAAAAGAGGAAAACCGCAGTTTGCATCAAAATGCGCCGTCTCAACTTAAAACATGGTTGTGCCCGAAACTGCTGAAATTATGCCCCTCTTGGAAGATACAGGTATATATATATATATATCCGTTTGCTTTGTGGTAGGGTTTCGTGCGGGATCTTTAACTCCATGGTACTATTATGACTCGAAGTTGTTGCTGTCCGCGTACAATGTGGGCGATGTCCGATTTCCGACGGCTTTCTCTGACAGCGTTAAAAGGGGAACAAAGGACACTGCCCACCCATATTGTCAACCCCCGAAGTGGTTTCCAATGGGTGCCGCGTGAACCATCAAACGCCACACCTCTCTTGTCTTGGAGCCTGCCTACGAAAAGGGCAGCTCAGCTCAGGAGTTCGACACCAGCCGCGTGTCGATCCAGAACTTGCCGGAGCTAGGCTTGGGGAACTCTGGGCCTTGGCAGTCCCAAGAAGCCAGCAGGAAATTGAAGAGGAAGTTAGCCAAGTACCCACCACGTTCTGGGGATTTCGGTTGACTCGAACCTTTAACACTTACAAGTGCCCCGAGCTCATTTCTTAGATGTTAGCTCTTGCTGAAGCGAGCAGAATTCCGCCCGCCCGCCAATCTGCCCCCTCCCCCCCTACCTTTGCGACCAGGCGGCGCCGCGGCGGTCGCAAACACCGCCATCCAGGCGCCACAGCGTTGTTTCTGCTTTTTTGCAGGCGCTGCGAACTAAGTAACGCTTGCCTGGTGGTTCGGTTTCAACATGGCACATTTGTTTGAAGACCACGGACCGCTAGGAAAGCAACACATGTGGAGATAGTCATGTTTGGCCCGACGATGGTCGTGTTGGATTGTTTGCCCTGCTGAAAGTCAAAGACCTTGACACGTTCCGTTTGAGGTATTGAAATCTTTGCATAGCAGTCAGCCGTTCGCCACCTAAACCCTCAGGAGTCACAAAGCATCACCTTTTGGAAACATGTTATGTGAGTTTCTTTGGGCGAAAGGGGCAATTGAGTGTTTGCTGAAATGGTAGATTCCTCGGCTGGAGAAATCAGCAATTGGCTTACTCCCCGCCGGCCACTTTCGGCCATCGCCATACCACTCAAAAAAGCAAACCCCCCACCCAAAAAAGGAATAAACAGCGCAAATGAGGCGGGAGAGAAGCCGCACATAAGTCGTTTGCTGCATATGTTTGTGGGGGGAAGGCTTTTGCGCTTTGTCGTTCGAAGATGGGTTCCTCACCATTGCTTTCAGGAGTTTCATGGGACACACCATGTGGCCACCACATAAAAGGATACACATTTTTCTCTGAGTGGCGCCGGGTTAGCGGAAGCCTTCTTAGATCTTAGAATGGCGCTTCCCGTTTGGGGAAACCTGTTTTCAGGGTACTTGTTTCTATTTTTTTGATGGGTTTAAAGGGATGCCAAAGTGAAGCACGCCATTTTGGGTCTCCCTGATGTTGACGCTTGACCCCGGATTCATAACCATTGGTAGAGGGGGGTGTTTCCCTGAGTCTAAACCCAAGGATACCCCCCTATTGATGAATCCGGGGTTCTCATTACTTTGACACACACACACACCCATTTGGGGCGGAGGCAGTGACATCTGGAGGGTTCATCAAAAGGGAAACCCATGGCATGGATACATGACCTTCAATTGGATTGAATTGGCTGGATTTGAACCCCCGTTTTGTCCCCGGGCAAGCAACCAAAGCACCAACCAAGGCGAGGATTCCCCGATCGGTCAGTGAGAGCCAGTTTTCGGGGCTCCGATGTTGAGAAGGCGGGGGAGCTGGTGTTCTATGAGAAGGCTTTAGTGCAAGCGCCCGGGGCCTCGGCCGCGCCGGCAAGGAGTCCAGAGCTGGGACCTTCTTGCGCTTCTTGTTGGGAGGGGGGCTGGGCCCCTTGAGATCAACTGCCCCGGAAAACAGAGATGGAAACCGGGGCTTGGGCCAAGGATGCATTTTCGGCCAAATGAAAACCAGCTTTGCCAGGTGGTCCAGATGGTTTCTGCATGTACCGGGTGATGTGATGTTTACGTGTATCCTTCTACCGGAGCCCTGCCCGTGCACCCCCATATCCGCATGGGCCCCTTGTTCATCCTTTGGGGTTGCCGAAGTCATACAGTCAGAGTCATAGCTATTGTTGGGCCCTGGGGTTATTTTCCTTAGAGCCGCCATTGGGCCGACTTCGGTAAAATGAGGCTGGAGTTTCTTGGGGAAACCCGCGGGTCGAGCAGGTGGACGGCCAGAAGCGCCACCAGTCGTTGAGCCTTGAGACTCCGATGTGAGCAGGAGAATAGCCTTGATTGCTCTTGGGTTGGATCTTTAGACTTTTACCTTTTGGGAAGTCAAGTTGGCTTTCCGAATTTAACCCAGAAACAAATCTTTTCCAGAGGGCGTCAACCCAAATAACACAACGCGGCCCTTTAGAAGGGCATGTTCGTTGTTGAGCTTTGGTGCATTTGTTGCACCCCAGCGCGTTTTGTACAAGACCTGGGTTCGGAACTGACCTTGGCAAATGCGGTGAGGTTTGCTCAATCTTAGACTGGCAGAGGAACTCATGAATATTTCTTCCAATCCAGGGTGACTCTCCAATGTCCCATGTTGAAAGGCAGTGATGGCATTTTTGACCCTGTCCTCATACGAATTTTCCGTCGGCTGGGAAAACCCTCGCGCAGGCCAGCTTATCTTTAGTTTCCCTTCGAAAGCAGCCAAAAGAGAGTAGCCTCATGAAATTTCCCATGACGGGAATTAGGGGGAGGGGGGAGATGTGATTTGCATATTTTGCAGCGTCCTAGGGGGCAAAACGAGGTGACCCTGAACACTTTCCTTCTTCTCGGTTCGGGCAACTGGCAACTTGCCCAGAAAAAGGGCGCTGTGCTTTTTGTGCAGCACATGTTGCGGGCCGTTTTAGGCATGTTGAAAATTGCGTCCACTTCAATGTGGCAATGGAAGCCAAGTTTGTGGGTTCTCTAGTTTCCCCGTGAAACTATGCAGACAGTAGGTAACCAACGGAACCAACGTTTGAAAACGAGAAAGGGACTATGGCTTGCGTATGGCTTGCCTGGAGGTCCACTGGGTTTTGGTTTGGAACTGGCAACTTTAGTTTTCCTGAAAGGAAGCCACTGGTTTGTAGGTCCTGTGCTATATCTTAGGTTTTGCGACTGAACAACCAGTCCATGGCTCATTGAACCAGTCCCTACACCACCTCTTAGTAAGTCTGCTTTTCACCCGAAACCGCCTCTTGGTGGGTCGTTTCCTAAAACCACCTGTTTGTACCCTCCCACCAAAATGGACTGTGGAACCTGACGTTCGTGACCCGCACCCTTTAAAAGGAAAATGGTCCAAACCCGGGCAAAACCCCGCGAACGTCGCACGGTTCTATGTTTTGCTTGGTGGGAGGGCAGCTCGATTTCACGTCACGCCCATTATCTGGATGCCTGAGGCCCGCGCCCACCAACCTGGCACGCCGGGGTTTCCTAGCGAGGTCCAGGTGGGCGGTGCGGATGCAAAAACTCGGCACCCCCCCCACCCGGAATTCGCCGTGATTTACCCGCGGCTTGGGAAATGGCCATGGGTCAAAAGCCCGTACCCCCAGTGAACATCCGAATCCACACGAATTAAAATAACTAAAATGGGTGGTGCACCTACCCCAAATGGTACCATTGGTTTTGACCCACAGCCAAATGAGTGTGGTTGGTTTACTTGCAATATCCAGGGCGTTTGACGGTATGGGTACTTCAGATGGGCTGCCCAACTGGGTACAGTTGAGTCAACGTTGGCGCAACTTCAACCCATTTGGGTTTGGTAGGCATCCGCTTTACTAGTGGTAGTGCAACCCGCGGTCAGAACCAGCTGCTAAGTAGCTGGCAGCTTTAGTATGCACGCTGCAAATTTGGGGGCTGCCAATGTCCTTGCCAACTGCATGCGAGATTCTTCTTGTCGAATTGCTGTTGCCAGTTCAGCAGTTCCCCCATATGGGGTTGTCGTTTTTTTTGGGGGTACCCCTTTTCGGGTTGGTTCAAAGGAAACCAAAAGGAACACCTCCATGTTTTGGTTCCCCCCATATTTTTAGTTCCCTTTGGTTTGCTGTGTCTTCAACTTCACGATTCGCTTGCCAACACCCTCAGGCGTGCGTGCCTATTGCCAGCTGGACTTGGAGCAACGGCGCCTCTTGCGAGAGACCTTCTGGAGCGAGGCGAGGGGTTGCCAGTCAGCCCCAGGGCCCCCAACTTAGTGTCCAACTTTTTTTGTGGTTGTAAGAACCTTTTGGGCTGAATTTAGGTGAGTTTCCTGTTGGTTGGATGATGGCCAAGCGATCCACCCCACAACTTTGTCACATGAAATGTGCTAAGGCAAGAAGCACGTCCTAAAGCACGCTTGCCCCAGCCCCAATGCAACTTGTCGTGCTCGATGTCACGTTTCAACCAGTCCTAGGGCAAGTTCTCACGCATCCGAGCCACCTTGTATCGATTGGGGTTTGTCCCCAAACGGGGATATGGAACCCAGACGTCGGACACCGAAGCAGCAAGGCAAACACGGCAACACGGCCAGCGGCCAGCAACCAGTCACCAAAGTTGACCTGGCAAAAAAGGCCTAGCACCCGCTTGCGGGTGTAAAACACTTGGCAGAGATGCGCGTCACCAACAAGCACAGTGTATGGCCTCTTTCGGGAGATTCACTCTGGCCTTTCGACAAGGAGAGGTTCCTGTTGGTTTGCTGGTTGAGTTTCAAGGGAGCTGTACCAAGCAAGGGAGAACAAGGGGGGTGGGCCACAACAATCTTTGAACTGAGCTGCTTCCTTTTGTTTCCCGGCACCAGAAGGATGATTTCCCACAAACATGCTAAGCACACCTGAGGTTCAACTTTTTTTGTGGAACACACGGTTTGCTTCCATGGGCTAAAGGCCAAGTGTGATTTCCCCTTGTTGGATTTAAAGGGAACCTACCACTTCTGGAATTATGTTTTAGCTTTCCAGGGATGTGAGCAAACGGAGGTTTGAGGTTGACAGCTTTGAAAAAAGACAAGAAGCGCCCGGTTGACCAGATGCTCCACGTAAGCGAGCCAGGCGCCAGCTGTTCGCCCAGATCTGAGCCAGACAGACAAACCACCTCGACATTCATCGTTGACAACAACATTAACAACCCCACATTAAAGCCATGGCTGTGCTTGTCGTTCAGAAGGGACATTAGGACCCCTGCTAAAACGGTAAAACACCCGAGGAATGATTTCTGAACAGCGGAGGCCTTTTTGAACCTTCCCTTTGGACCAGGCCGGGAGCCTTTTTCATTCGAACCTTTTTGGGTGACATGGGGGAGGTGTTTTTTTTTTGCTTCGAGCCTTCCTGTAAAAACAGAGGGGTAGCCTTAGGTTTCTCTGGGGAAACAACCGCCTTGTCTTAGCCTGCCATTTTCGGTGGCGGGGGTGCATTGGCTCCTTACTTCATGGCAGAAAAAGGCCTGGGGTTTGCCGAGGCTGCGCTGCCACCGCGGCTTGCGATGCGGCTGAGGAGGACAAGCTAGACTTTGGCTTCGGTTTTGGTTTTCGGGGGCTTCATCAAGATACACATGTCAAGGAACGTGTGTGGAGGCTTGAAGTCGCCAGGAGATAAATCAGGCTGGTTTCCCCAGCGACGGCGAACAGCCCTCACGATCTGAATCCTTCAAGTGTGAAAGTGGATAAATGTGAAACCCAGAGTTCATCAACCCTCGGGGTCATACTCTGTTAAGAAGTAGCCGCTTACTGTCAAAAGATCTAGGAGACTGCTTCTTTGGCTTTCTCAAGTTGTTTTGTTGTTTGTTTCGGGCGGGCTTGATTTCGTGGACAGGCGGTTGTTTTCTTTTCATGTTATTTTGTTTCTTTCTTTCTTTTTGTTTTTTTCCTGTTGTTGGGTGTTTGGTTTTCTCAAGGTTGTTTTTGGGTGTTGGTTTGGCAGGGTCCCGTTCAAGCCTCACCCTCATACTCCCAGCTTGGCTAGCCCCTTTGGAGGGTGTCCAGTCCGACTTTTGTCCTGACCAAGGTTGATGCATCCGCGCCCCAACGAACCCCGGGCGCAATGGTTTGGGCCAGCTGAACAGCGAATCCGAGTGGCAGGCATTGGCGGGGGTTTAATGGCCATTGGGATAAGACAGCCCTGAACGGCAGTGTTCCAACTAAAAAGCTGAACTGCTGGCACGGGCAAAGGGAGCATGTTGCTTTGGCTTATGCACATTGAAGTCTGACCATGTTCAGCTTTCCAGATTGAAGGTTCAGATGTTGGCTTCAGCCAGGGGGTCCGACCTGCGCCCGGATTTGTTGTGCAAGCTTGCCTCCCGGAGGATTCTGGGGACTCTGCGGCACAGGCCGGCTGCGGATGGGTCTGGCCGTTTTTTCGGGGTGAGAATGATGAAACAGAGGTTGACATCATGGCTCTTGCCTTGACCTCCGTCTATTCACCGGCCAGACGCGTCATTTTGTTGGTTGGCGCCCAGTGAGACGATCTGGCCAGCCTCAGGATGAATTTGATTGCCACCCCACCGCTATCCTCTTCCAGCCATGGCCCCGATCTTGCTGCTGTCGTTGCTGGGCACGGCTGCGTCCATGAAATGCCCTGGGTCTAGCTGCTGGGTCCACGCCTTCGCACAGGTGGATGCCATGGCGGATGCCAGCTGCGCGGATGTGAGTGAGGAGGGTTGGGCGATGTAGCCCTTTGTTTAACCATGTTTAAGCCAAGGTACCCAAAACAAAAAACGATGCATTTGGACCAACGGTGTCTACATTCCGAACCGCGAGGAGATCAAGGCGCGAGTGAGCAGCGGGTGGAAGGACCATCACAACGGCGGCACGTATACTTTGCTGGACGCTAACGCTGACGACGGGGAGCTGACGCTGCAGCGCGTCACGGCCAACGGGATGAAATGATCTTCACCTTCTCCTCCTTCGACGGCGCCCGGGCGTCCTGCGACATCCACGCCTGCTCAGAGTCTCAGGGCTTCTCCGTGAAGGACTTCTCCACGAACTACTGCAACCTGAGGAACTTGTACTGCGGCAGCACGGAGGGCTGCGTGCCCGTGAAGCACGACTTCGAGACCTCCGAGGAGGAGGTGACGCCTTCGTGGTTCGGGGGAAGCGACAAGGACGCCTGCATCGTGAAGTCCGAGGCGGAGACGGCGTTGGCCACGGTGGCCACGGTGGCCACGGTAGCCACGCCGATGCTGCGACAGGTGCCACTGGGCGGCGTGGAGGACACCTTGGGGTGCGTGAGCAACAACTGCCCCATGGACAAAGCCACGTTGCAGCCCAGCGCCATGTGCGTCCTGGGCAACTGCACCAGCAACTTGGCCAAGTGCCTCTTCTCTGGGCTGCTTCGACCTGCTGAAGGCCACAGATTCCAAGGAGGACGCGGACCGCTTCGTGAACCTCATGGACTGCATGCGCACGCACTGCCCCGGCTACCCGCCCAGCAAGACCTGCGTGGCGATGCACTGCGTCGCGGAGGCTGGCGCGTGCGCGTTTCACTCGACCTGCCGATCCGCCTTGGAGTGCGCCGACGGCTGCGTGCCGGCCAAGTACGCCGCGGCTCTGGCCGCCGCACAGCAGGCCACAGAGGTGGTCACAGAAGTGTGAGGCGTGAGGCGCGCACGTTTGATCTAGATGAGGCTTCTGCCCCGGCTGTTGTGCTTTGCTGCAAAGCCTCGCTTGGTGAGGTTTGTTGGGCCTCATCGTGTGGCGGCAGTTCAGCACCGGGCTAGATTGATATTAATGATTTCATTGGTTTGCTATTAGCATCGTTCAGCGAGCCCAAGGGGACCGTTGCAAGCATGTGGGTCTGCTGGGTTCGCTCTAGAGGTGGATGGGGGCGCGTGTTTTAAACGCCCTTAGCTTATCCATGCCTATCCTCACTTCTGGCAAGGGTCAGCTCTGGTGATGGTGTGCGTGGAGAAAACATGACATCACACTTTGCAGCTTGAGTATGGGTTTGGGTTTGCAGCCTTGCGCAGCGTGTAATTGATGTATTATCCTTGTGCGTTTGTTTTTGAAAGGAATTCAACCACGTGTGCGAACCATCAGACCTTTCCGTTTTGGATGACCATACTTGGCTTGACAAGTCGCTTAAGTCATTTGACGCTTTGCAGGTTTTGCGGCCAGCTGCTCAGCTCAGGACCAATTTGATTGCCACCCCACCGCTATCCTCTTCCAGCCATGGCCCCGATCTCGCTGCTTTCGTTGCTGGGCACGGCTGCGGCCATGAAATGCCCTGGGTCCAGCTCCTGGATCCACGCCTCCGCACAGGTGGAGGCCATGGCGGATGCCAGCTGCGCGGATGTGAGTGAGGAGGGTTGGGCGATTTAGTTTGTTTTAACCAAGGTGCCCAAAAACGATGCATTTGGACCAACGGGACATCAATTCCGAACCGTGAGGAGATCAAGGCGCGAGTGAGCGGCGGGTGGAAGGACCCGCACAACGGCGGCACTTACACTCTGCTGGACGCTGACGATGGGGAGCTGACGCTGCAGCGCGTCACGGCCAACGGGATGTTCACGGACAAAATGATCTTCACTTTCTCCTCCTTCGACGGCGCCCGGGCGTCCTGCGGCATCCACGCCTGCTCAGAGTCTCAGGGCTTCTCCGTGAAGGACTTCTCCACGAACTACTGCAACCTGCGGAACTTGTACTGCGGCAGCACGGAGGGCTGCGTGCCCGTGAAGCACGACTTCGAGAACTCCGAGGTGGTGGTGAAACCTTCGTGCTTCGCGGGAAGCGACAAGGACGCCTGCATCGTGAAGTCCGAGGCGGAGACGGCGTTGGCCACGGTGGCCACGGTAGCCACGCCGATGCTGCGACAGGTGCCAGTGGGCGGCACCGTGGAGGACACCTTGGGGTGCGTGAGCAACAACTGCCCCATGGACAAAGCCACGTTGCAGCCCAGCGCCATGTGCGTCCTGGGCAACTGCACCAGCAACTTGGCCAAGTGCCTCTTCTCCTCCACATGCCGCAGCGGCGTGATGTGCGAGCTGGGCTGCTTCGACCTGCTGAAGGCCACAGATTCCAAGGAGGACGCGGACCGCTTCGTGAACCTCATGGACTGCATGCGCACGCACTGCCCCGGCTACCCGCCCAGCAAGACCTGCGTGGCGATGCACTGCGTCGCGGAGGCCGGCGCGTGCGCGTTTCACTCGACCTGCCGATCCGCCTTGGAGTGCGCCGACGGCTGCGTGCCGGCCAAGTACGCCGCGGCTCTGGCCGCCGCACAGCAGGCCACAGAGGTGGTCACAGAAGTGTGAGGCGTGAGGCGCGCACGTTTGATCTAGATGAGGCTTCTGCCCCGGCTGTTGTGCTTTGCTGCAAAGCCTCGCTTGGTGAGGTTTGTTGGGCCTCGTCAGGTGTGGCGGCAGTTTAGCGCCGGGCTAGATTGATATGATTTCATTGGTTTGTTACTAGCATCGTTCAGCTGACCCAACGGACCGTTGCAAGCATGTGGGTCTGCTGGGTTCGCTCTAGAGGTGGATGGGTGCGCGTGTTTTAAACGCCCTTAGCTTATCCATGCGTATCCTCAGCTTGGACGCCAGAAGTGGCAAGGGTCAGCTCTGGTGATGGTGTGCGTGGAGAAAACATGACATCACACGTTGGCAGCTTGAGTATGGATTTGGGTTTGCAGCATCGCACAGCGTGCAATTGATGTATTATCCTTGTGCTTCCGTTTTGCAAAGGAATCCAACCATGTGTGCAGACCATCAGATCTTGCCGCTTTGGATGACCATACTTGGCTTGACAAGTCGCTTGAGTCATTTGACGCTTTGCAAGTGTTGCGGCCAGCCGGGCTCAGCTCAGGATCAATTTGATTGCCACCCCACCGCTATCCTCTTCCCAGCCATGGCCCCGATCTCGCTGCTTTCGTTGCTGGGCACGGCTGCGGCCATGAAATGCCCTGGGTCCAGCTCCTGGATCCATGCCTCCGCAGAGGTGCAGGCCATGGCGGAAGCTAGCTGCGCGGATGTGAGTGAGGAGGGTTGGGCGATATAGTTCTAGTTTTATCCTTGTTTAAACCAAGGTGCCCAAAAACGATACATTTGGACCAACGGTGGTCCACATTCATTCCGAACCTTGAGGAGATCAAGGCGCGAGTGAGCGGCGGGTGGAAGGACCCGCACAACGGCGGCACTTACACCCTGCTGGACGCTGACGACGGGGAGCTGACGCTGCAGCGCGTCACGGCCAACGGGAAGTTCACGGACAAAATGATCTTCACCCTCTCCTCCTTCCACGCCGCCCGGGCGTCCTGCGGCATCCACGCCTGCTCAGAGTCTCAGGGCTTCTCCGTGAAGGACTTCTCCACGAACTACTGCAACCTGCGGAACTTGTACTGCGGCAGCACGGAGGGCTGCGTGCCCGTGAAGCACGACTTCGAGACCTCCGAGGAGGAGGTGACGCCTTCGTGGTTCGGGGGAAGCGACAAGGACGCCTGCATCGTGAAGTCCGAGGCGGAGACGGCGTTGGCCACGGTGTCCACGGTGGCCACGCCGATGCTGCGACAGGTGCCAGTGGGCGGCACCGTGGAGGACACCTTGGGGTGCGTGAGCAACAACTGCCCCATGGACAAAGCCACGTTGCAGCCCAGCGCCATGTGCGTCCTGGGCAACTGCACCAGCAACTTGGCCAAGTGCCTCTTCTCCTCCACGTGCCGCAGCGGCGTGATGTGCGAGCTGGGCTGCTTCGACCTGCTGAAGGCCACAGATTCCAAGGAGGACGCGGACCGCTTCGTGAACCTCATGGACTGCATGCGCACGCACTGCCCCGGCTACCCGCCCAGCAAGACCTGCGTGGCGATGCACTGCGTCGCGGAGGCCGGCGCGTGCGCGTTTCACTCGACCTGCCGATCCGCCTTGGAGTGCGCCGACGGCTGCGTGCCGGCCAAGTACGCCGCGGCTCTGGCCGCCGCACAGCAGGCCACAGAGGTGGTCACAGAAGTGTGAGGCGTGAGGCGCGCACGTTTGATCTAGATGAGGCTTCTGCTTTGGCTGTTGTGCCTTGCTGCAAAGCCTCGCTTGGTGAGGTTTGTTGGGCCTCGTCAGGTGTGGCGGCAGTTCAGCGCTGGGCTAGAAGATTGATTTAGCATCGTTGAGCTGACCCAAGCGACCTATGGAGGTCTGTTGTGTTGGCGATTCTGACCACTTTACACTGTTGCAAGGCAGCGGTGTGGCGTCTTTAAACGCCCTTAGTTTGACCGCCAGGAGCGGCAAGGGGTCAGCCCTGTTGTGCGTTGAGAAAGTGTGGCTTTCCGCATGTCATTGCTTGACCCTGAACAGCTCAACTTCCGCCCTCCCTGGATCCCGGTTGGAAGACGGTCTGTGCAGCCAAGGATTGAGGCCAAGGCTGAGGATTACTTGATGTGGGTTGACAACTACGTTTTTTTTTTTTTTTTTTTTTTTACGTGCACCCGCCGCTTGCTATTCAGTCATGTGGCTGTGGGTCAAGACCAATGGTACCATTTGGGGCAGGTGCACACCCATTTTGGTCTATTTTAGTGGGGATTGGGATGTTCACTGGGGGTACGGGATTTTGACCCATGGCCATGTGATTGTGTAGGCATTTGCTTTGGCCCTTGACATTCGCAGCATTTGTGCCAGTCAGCCTGAGGACGGTTTTTCCAGCAATTTGGGCTCAGCGGATTCCACCCGCGAAATCCCGTCTCCTTTGGTGGGCCCACCAAAATTGCAGCCAGCCGCAAACAGAACTGGTACGACAGCTTGTTCCCCTCTATAGATTGTCAGGCCACCCCAGGAAATCCCCTTGTTCCCAGCAAGCTGGGCCACTGGGCATGGGAGAATCCAGGGTATCGCAGAAGGCTTCCCCCAAAAAAGAACATGGCCATGGGGCCATACCATTTCACCATGCCGCCCTGAGCCGTGATTGTAAGGGACCGATCCGGAACCACGGCCTTGGCGGCCTCGTCGCTTGGCTCGTTTAGGTGCTGGCGCAGCTGCAGGGCGAGCGCTGGAACGTGGAGCTGCCAGAAGTGGAGGAGGGGGGGGAAAAAGGGGCAAGAGGGCAGCGCTTCGGTGGGGAAATTCCCGGCCTTTTGAAAGGTTCTGAACTTGGAGGGAGTCGCAAACAGAAACCACAAGTCTTCATCACTTCCTGGATCGGCCAGGAGGGTACCTCTCTTACCTTGGCACATGCCCAGGGCACACGGAACCCCCAATCCAGCACCAAGGGAACCTGACAGAATTTGGAGAAATACACTGGCCCTGGCCACTGGAATAGTCATTCAAATGCAACAAACGCAGGTGGATTTGCAGGATCTGGTTCCATGGGAAATCAAGTGGCTCGTGCATGTATCCTTTGAGAAACTCGGTCAAGCATGGGTTGAACCAGCTTTGTAGAAACAAACTCGTCGTGCCTGGTTCTCAAAAACGCATGTTTGGCATGGTTGCCAAACCAGCTCTGGTGCTTTGGCCGGCTTTCAGGAGAACGGGGTTACGCTCCGTGCGCAGAAAAATTGGAGCGGACGCATCGATTTGCGCTGTGATTTTTTACTGGGGTCACCCAGAAAAGTGATCCGGATTCCCACTATATAAAAGGAAACACACCCCTATTCATCAGCCAGAGGTGTAGTGGTCTGGAGCTAGGATGAACAAAGAAACAGCATGGTGACTGGACATGAACCTCAATGAAACTGATGTACACCACAGGGTCCCACATTAAAAAGGCATTTTCCCACCAGCGCTGTTTCCATGGAGCTGTTTCCTCCTGTCATGTGCAAGGTTTCGTTGGTCCGGGGAACCCGAGGAGGATTGGGCATTCCGTGCAGTATGGTCAGTCCGAAAGAAGGTCGGCCCGGGTGCCAAATAGCAATACCCCTTCTGGTGTACAGGAACCTTACCAGCATAGGAAGCATAGGAAGCATAGGAAGCTGGGAAGGGCCATAAGGTCACACTGACGTGACCGGAATGGCAGGAAGTGATCCGAGTTTGGAACCTCAACGCCTATGACAACGCGCTGGCGCCTGTAGCGTGCAAGGCCGGGCCCCCATCTGGGGTTGTATAGGTTCCCTTGGAAAGATATGTGTGGTCGTCTTTTCGATAGTGCCCGTTGGGTTAGGGAAACCAACACATTTTTTTTCGGTACCCCTATTTTCAGACCCCCCCCCCATGTGAATCATGGCTTCGGAGTGCCAACCCCAGAGGCCCTGAAAGGGACCTTTATTGTTCATTCTGACAACAGGTCAAACCCGCGCAAGAGTGACTTGGCATGGCTCGGCTTTTCTGACGACTGCCGCCGCCGCTCAAAATTGGGGAAGGCGAGGGAATGGGTGCGCATGTTTTGCTTGTAATTCTGGGAGGGGCAAATCAACCACGTCCCTTCCGCGAGCTTTGCTTCTGCAAACTTTCCGAGCTGCAGTGTGGTGCTACCTTCTTTGTTGAAATGCACAGCTCCAGAGATCTTGCTTGAGTTGGGAAAAAGGCCACTCAGAAGCAACTTGCGGCGGAAGGCCCGCGCAAGCACTTATATGCAAACATGCTCGCGGAAGGTACCCTTTCCACTAAAAGCTTTGCCGAAGGGCCCATACCTCCAGTCAATTTTAAAGGGAAAGTGTTAGTGGCTGTTTGTCTTATGGGAGAACCATCAAAACACAGTTGGGTGAAAGTAGACGGCACAACTCGAACCCATTTCGGCTTCGTCATCCCTTCTACTTTCCGCCAAAAGGGAATTGTGCCATCTACATTCACCCTGGTGTAAGTTGTTTTGGTTTTCTTTCCGTGCAAAATATCCACAAGGGTAGCCTCCCAAACCGCCCAAGTTAGTCCCCATTTTTCTTGGGTCCCTTGCGCCGTGACTTGTTTGCATCGGAAAAGCCGGGCTTTTCGGCTGTTTTTTGTTTCCCCCCTGATGGTTCCATTTGGGAGGGTCTTTTTGAGGGCCCCCCCAAAAAAATAGGGTGCTTTTCCGGTTGGTTTCCCTTGACCACCAAACAAAAGGGCAGCCCAAAAAGACACCCATTTTTTGATTGCCCCAAAGTAGACCTACACCCGCAATTTGATTTTCATCAGGAAATACCCACCCAGTTGGGAGAGGACTCACTTGTCCAAAGCCGACTTGTTTGTTTATCCTTTTGCTTTTATGTTCCTTTTTTTCTCAACTTGTCCAGGCGGCGAAAATGCACATGGAAGGCTCCACTCCAAAAGGCGTAGCCCGTTTTGGCCGAGCATCTCCTGCAGGTCTCCCACTCCTGCGCGCCCAATCTGTCGATTCGCCGGGGCCCCCATTTGTTGCTCGTCGATCGCGCGGTAGCGGCTGGATGCCAGCGACCTGATCCCACTTCCCTATAGGAAACCTTTAAGTCATCTGTCCTTTTCTAGGGGTTGATTCCTTGTCCATTCTTGTCAACCATCGTTCCTTTCAAAACCGGATCTGTTTTGGGTGGATTTCTAGAAAGAAGGATGCCGGGAAAGAATGGAAATGGAAGGTACCCCTGACCTTTGGTATCCTGTATTGTGACCATGTGATCCCACCTTGATCTCCCTCTTTCATTTTGAGGAGCCTAATGGAAACCGGCATCGCTGGCACATTAGGCAAAACCTGTCCCGTCAGTTCCAAATCGAGTGAAAGGTCATTGAGGGGCCGCTGCCGGGCTTCCTTCTTCCCACTTGGGGAAGATAGCAGAATCGCGATCCCTTCGAAGGTTTGGCCAGTGAGGCACGGCAAGTCACGGCAAGGCGATCAGGAATTGAGGGAAGGGATTCCTGTTTCCTAACGTTAACCCTGGATGAATCGTTCCCCGGTTGATTCATTCGGGGGTGTCCTCTATTTGTGACTAGGAATCCGGGCCGGTGTTCCCTCTACTTGCAACACGCTTCGCGAGATTTCGGTCTTGGCCCCCCCCCCCCCGAATTTGCGCAGCCTTTAAAATGCCGTTGGCGCAAAGTTCAAGAACGTGCACGCAACAAGGGCGGATTTGGTCCTATCTGTGGCCCGATGTCTGAAGCCTTCGAAACTGGAAGGCCCCTTTTCCCAGGTTCCATCTCGGCTGCCTCGCCCGGTGGGGTTTGTGTTCGCCTGGCCCGGATGTTGTGGAACCACTCCGGGGCTGGTCTTTGGGGTGAGCCTAGCCTCTTAAACCCTTTGGAAACAAATGGCTTCTCCGTGAAACCTGCAAAAGGTCAGAGTTGCCCAGTGGGCAAGAGCGACCCAGAGAATACAACTAGCTGAAACTGGCACCAAGCTCTCAAGGTCCAAAGGCCGAACTGGAAAGAAGCCCAGCCAGGTCTTTCGTGCAAGTGAGTACCACCCTTGTGTTTCTTGGGTGCTAAACTAATGAATGCGAATGCTGTTTCCCAAAGGAAAGCCAACGGGAGGCGGGATTTGTCCTCATCCAGGTCCCTCCAGTAGTGCCCTTTTTACCAACTTTTTCGGGGGAGGGTTCCCCTATTAAAAAATAAACTACAGAAAAGTCGGTACCGTTCTTCTAGCCTCTCCACTGGAGGACCTAGTAATTTTCGCCGAGGTCGGGGCAAAAGAAATCCGAGCAGAGCCGCCCGAGGCGTGCACGGCGGTGTCATCGAGGGCACGGCCTGTCGGGCCATTGCGGCCGGTGAGGCGCTAGGCCTGGCCGGATTTGAAGCCGAGGGCGGTGGGTTCTGCAATTTGTTTTTTTTTTTTTCCCCCCGGGGATGTTCTTTTGCTTTTATGTTTGCCTGGGGTGCCAGCCGTTTTTTTTGTTTTTTGTTGTTGTTTTTTTTTTTTTGTGTGTGTGTGTGTTCCCTTCTTTTTCTCTTTTTGTTTTGAGGGGGTGGTTAACAACAACTGTTGGGCTCTTTATGACCAACTCAGACAGTCAAGGATCTCGTGGAAGAAAACGACTTTGCAATTGCTCGCTATGGGCCAGAGTATTCTTTTCTTGGGGGCAAAAGCCGCGGTACTTTCGGTCACGCCCCTGGCCTGGGGTTGTTTCGTATTTGTTTTTGATTTCGCCTTCGCCGCGGGAGAGATGTGAAAGAGGTTGGCAGACACTAATATTTAAGTGCAAAGATCACTCATTCCAGCCAGCTGGATTGCAGTCAAACTCGAAGAAGGGATTCTGCAGTCCTTGATGTTAAACGTCCAGCGGTCACATCCACTGCTGACTCCCTGCCAAGGGGATCCCTTGCCAAAATCTACGAGGATGAAAATTCGTGGCAGGAAAGAACCAAGTCGTCAACTTTCATGGGCCTGAGTGTCCATGTCGTCAACTCATTGCCAGGGAGTTTCAAAGGGGCATGGTCACCGTTGCGGAGCCACAAAAAAAGAGGGGCCTGCTCGGCAGTTCGCCCCTTCTCAAGCCAATTCGACAAGCAGCTTGCCAGCAACTGAGCATGTCAGGAGCCATTCTCCACAAGATTTGCAGGCAGAACATCTCTCATACAAACCTCAAGTCCCAAATGCAGCGCCAAAAGCATGTGAACGCATTGCTTGCACTTCGGCCGTTTCCTCCCGCTTCACGCCATGGCGGAACCCACAGACGCAGAGGCCAAGCGCCGGAGGGTGGAGCCGGTGATGCCGGCGCCCGACATGATGATGGGCATGTCGCGGAGCATGGCCGCTGGGTTGGGTTTTTCACGCGGAGCGTGGGTTTTTCACGCGGAGCGTGGCCACTGCTTGATTGTAATTGGGGGATCTTTAGACTTCAACTCTTGGGTTGAAGTCAAGTTGGTTGTCCGAATTGAAGCCACACAAAGTTGAGCTTTGCAAAGGGGCCAGTACTGTGCTTCAGGCATTTCTGAACCCCGGGTTCCCAATACGCAGATGAGTGGATCCCAAAGTCTCAAGCAACCAGACCCTGGAACGTCCTTTTCAGGCGCAGACGGAAAAGATTCCGATTGCTATCGTGCAACTTTCCGCGCAAGGAAGCTGCCTGGGGCTTGGGCAGCACACAAGCCAAAAACACAAGTCACACACGAGACAAGCAAACAAATAAACTAAACCATATACCTCCCCGTGTATTTGGCTTACCTCCTTTGTTTCCTTGAGCTTCTTCGCGTCAATGAGGCTGAACTCCCTGCTTGTGTCAACCATTCCTTTCTTGGCATCTTTTTCTTTTGGCAGCATGCCTGGCTGCCTCAGCCCGGCTCAGAGGTCACAATGATGCAGTTCAACGAGCAGAAGCAGGACTACATCAATAGCCTGTCCAACCTCGAGGAGGAGACCCCTCAGCCGCGCGGAAGGATCTAGGCGAAAGGGCGGTTGTCCAAAAAGCGAGGGTCCGAGAATGGGGGGCTGTTTGTGGGATTGCGCTCGAATCGAATGTCGGTTGAATCGTCCTTCACTTCTTGTTTTGGCACCTCCCACCCTCCCCCGCCGTGCTGCTGAGTGCTAGAATGCCTTTGCATTGGAACAACCCCTTCTGAGCCGAAAGGCGTTGGGAAACGTGCAGGGTGGATTGCCTTGCGCAAGTCAAATTCCGCAATCCGAACGAAGATATCTT